CTTCAGCACCAACAAGCGCAGCCGGTGATGTATCTCAAGGATCCCGTGTACAGAGCTGAAGCATACCACCGCCACCAGCTTCCGGACGATTATCAAGGCCACGACTTTATCCAGCACGAGGACTATTGTCCTGGTCATATGTACCAGAGAAACTCTAATCACGGGGATGGTGGCGGGATGGGAGCTCACTCAGCTCCATATCAGATTGGATCGTCGCCATCTTCACCTCGACTAGCGTACCGTGATGGCAGACTCCATCCGCAGTTGAGTGTGCATAGGCCGTATCCTGGAAATCCCGTCGACCATCAATATGGAAGGAGGCCTCATACACACGAAGAATCTGGTCGGAGTTACAGGCTTTCATCGTCGCCACCTCGCTATCGTGATCATCACCTTGATGAACCGTTGCCGTTTCTACATCATCATGAGCGGTTTCCATCGGATCAAGTGGCTATGGCTCTTATGTTCGACAAGAAGCAAGGACCAGAGATGCTGCCCAGGCAAGCTATGGGCCTATACGGTCCAGGATATCAGGAAAATTCTTTCTATTATCCGGACAATGGTCAAAGAGGTGGCGAGCCAAGGCGCCAAGTTAAAACATCTCCGCACTTGAATCCCAGATTTGATTACCAAGACCATCTGGTGCAAATGGAGCAACTTTCGCTTCATGGCCATCAACCAGAGGTAGAGAGAAACTTGGAAGCAGAAGACTCGGGGCTTAGGAATCAAAAACCACTCATCGAGGTAAACCACTCGCCTCGTGTTCTTCTCTTTTGAAGCTTACATTTATATATTTCCTTTTTCCTGCAGCCTGAGCCCCGCCAAGCTGTTACGAACTCGCTGCCTTTTGTGGTGCACGGAAGTGGCATTGGGCCCTCTAGTCAGGTTCCTCCAAAATTTATGGACTCCCAGCCATTGAACCGGTCATCGACGTCAGGGATAAATACCTCCGAGACAGGATTTGGCAGCAGATGGATGACCGAAGACGAGACACCGGATCTTCTCACTGATGCGGGCTCTAGCGCGAGAGTAAACATCGCTAGGCCTTCCAGCAATAATAATCTTACAGGTCTAGTCAGCCAGGTTGGTTCAGCAGCTCAGAGTCAGCAGGCATCCGCAGCTTACAGTTGTGCTCCTTCTGTTAGTCTTCCCATTTTCGATACCATATCTCAGTGGAATCGGAGCATTGGGGCTGGGGACCTTGAAGCAAGTGCTGTGAAGAGTGAAATTGATGACGACGCATCCCGCAAGCTTTCTCACATGATGTCGGAAACTGGTCATCTGGCGGAAGACATGGTTTCGTCAGTGTTGAGGTCCAACTACGAGTTTCCGGCAACGTCGTCAAATTTTCCAGTCCAGAAGGAGATTGAACCTGTCCAGGAATTGGATCTGGTGCCACAACCAACGTTGACTGTGCAGAACTGGGACAAAGTTCTTTGCCGTGACGAGGAGCCTATTACCGAAAACGAGGCATGTAGAGAGCATACTAGCGTTGAAGCTCATGATAAGGTGGTCTCTTGTTTTTATATCCTCTTTTGCTAACTTGTCTTTTCAGGCTGAAGGCAGCCATGACTCTCCTCCTCCAGGTGATATCTCGTTAGCTGCGGAACAGGAAGCGAAATCTCGTGGCTTGCAGGTAATTTTGTTTATGTCTTCTTGTCGTTGACTCGGCTAACATGCTTTTGATGTTATGATTAGATAATAAAAAACTCCGATCTCGAGGAAATCCGAGAGCTCGGATCTGGAACATATGGTACAGTCTACCATGGAAAGTGGAGGGGAACAGATGTCGCGATTAAGCGTATAAAAGCCAGCTGCTTCGAAGGAAGGCCGGTGGAACGAGATCGTCTGGTATGTATCCTCCCATTAATACGTTCCAAACTGAACAACCTTTTTCCAGATACTTGATTTCTGGAGAGAGGCGGGCACGCTGAGTAAGCTCCACCATCCGAATGTTGTGGCTTTCTACGGCGTGGTTCCCGACGGCCCTGGCGGAACGCTGGCAACCGTCACAGAGTATATGGTAAATGGATCGTTGAAGCAAGTGCTTCAGAAGAAAGACAGGTACGTGAACTCAAAAGAGGATGGACTGTATCGGCTAACTTGCCAGATTTCAGAACCATTGATCGTCGGAAGCGACTGTTGATAGCAACAGACGCTGCTTTTGGGATGGAGTATCTACACGGAAAGAACATCGTTCATTTCGACCTGAAGTGCGAGAATTTGCTGGTCAACATGAGGGATCCACATCGGCCAGTGTGCAAGGTAATGATATCTTCGTCTCTCGTTCTTTCACTTTGTAGTGAGTGACTGTGCACGTTTCCAGGTTGGAGATCTGGGACTGTCGAAAGTTAAGCGCCAGACAATGGTGTCTGGTGGCGTCCGAGGAACTTTGCCGTGGATGGCTCCTGAGCTCTTGAGCACCTCGAGCTGTATGGTCAGTGAGAGAGTAAGTGACTTCGGCACCCAGAATTCTTCTTTCGGTTTTATAGCGGCGATGTGTTTTGGTATATCAGGTGGATGTTTTCTCATTCGGGATAGTTATGTGGGAGCTTCTCACCGGAGAGGAGCCTTATGCAAACATGCACTACGGAGCGATCATAGGTGAGATGTTTTTCGAGATCGTTTCATCTTGAAGCTTTTCGTGTCAAAACCAGGTGGCATTGTTAGCAACACGCTTCGTCCACCGATTCCAAATTGGTGTGAGCCAGCGTGGAGGTCTCTGATGGAACGGTGCTGGGACGCCGATCCCTCGGCGAGGCCATCGTTTGCCGAGATTGCCAGCGAGCTCAGGTCGATGAGTTCGTCGCTACAACCCCGATCTTGACGAAGAACACGTAGGAAAAGAAAGAGAGCTGTTAAAGAAGCCGTGTGTTACAGTTTTATTCAACTGTGACAGGTGAGCACAAGTTGGTTTGTGGTGTTTATATGGCAAATCTCTTATTACGTTTGTGTGTTTTCTGTTTCTTTGTTTTTACAGAGAAAAGAGCGACCACCGATTCATTTTTTCTTTTTTGTTTTTTATTTTTGGATATGCCTTGTATATGCTAGCCTTTCTCTACGTCCATTGGTTTGTATATAGATGTATATATATTTCTAATGCTCGCCTCTTTGTCTACTAGGAGAGAATGACTTTTGGCAAAAGAGAAAGGGAAGCTAGCTAGAGAGGCTGGTTTGCGCTTTTCTTTGGTGATGGCCGGCTGGAAGCAAAGCAGCAAATCGATCAATCAAATCAAATCTAGCACACCATCAGGAAGAACAATGACTGTCGAGGAGAAAAGAAAGAAAACACAAAGGAGAAGAAGACGAAGAAGAAGAAGACCAAGCTGGCTAGTTTGTTGACAAAGCGCACCGAGGGACAGACAGGGCTGACAGACAAAGACGATCACAGGGTTGATTGGATCCAAACGTCTTCGTTACCTTTTTCTTTAAATTTCTAGTATATTTTTTTAAAATGCTTTGGCTTGGAAGCAAAGCTGCCAAGTGCCAAATGCGAAACGCCAAATACGAGGAATAACACTTCATTTCTTATATTTATTTATTTTTTCGTTTTTTTTTTTGTTTTTTTTTTTATTCAAGGTTGCTGATACTGGGCCCTAAGCTATTCTGATGGAGCGTGCCTCCTGTGTTGTGTCTTGTGTGAAACATGTCTACTTAACTGTCAGGCTTTGACACTTACCAATCTACATGGCTTTGTCCTGCTCCATGCACTCTATTTTATTTAAAGTGGAATGTATGTCAATGGCAAGGCAGACAGAAAAGTGAGTGGTGCTTGCCCAGCTTCTAGTAGTTGAGCTGGCAATTCTTGCTGTGTGTGTGTGCTTTCTCTTGGTTCCATGCCAATGTTTGGTACTAGTGGTGCAATAGGCATTTGATGCTGCTGGGCTTTGCAAAGAAGGAGTTGCAGGTTGATGGATGGAAGAATTCAAGAAGTGAAAGATTTGGTGGGTCAACATTTCTGAAGTGAAGGTGGCCAGCAGCTGCAGCTGCACATGGCTTTACACATGGAGACTGAGATTGAACAATCTAGCCCCTGCTTGCTGGTGATGCAACCTCTTGACAATGCCACTCAAATCAAACATTTGGTTGATTTAAACTGGAATATTCCTCTACACTTTAGGGTTTGGGGGGTTTTAGGGCTCTTGAATTCTGCGGTATGGCGGAGGAGGAGGACGACGACGACGACGATCGCTGTGCGGCGCAGGAACAGTCGAATGAGGGATCGGATCTTGCGTGCTGTGAGGTAAAAATTTGGCATCTCTCTTTCTTAGCTGTCTCTTTTTTATTTCTTTGTTCCTCTCTGCATCGCATCGCATCAGAATTGGTACTAGGAGTAGTGTTTAATATTACTCTGCCGCTGCCACATTTGCTACGTGTGCGTACAGTGCCACAGGAAAGGCATCTGGCTTCTCGGCTCGGAAAAGAGGCCACACTTCCCTTTCTTTGTTTGTCATTGTCTCGAGTTGTTGTTCTTAAATACAGTGTTTTTAAATTTATTTCCTTCTGTTTGAAGTTCCAGTTCCAGCAGAGTTTTTTTTTGGGTTTCTGGTTTCTCATCAAATTATTGTCAATCGATGTTTCTTTGCTCTTTTTCTCTGTAGCTTTGTCTACCCTCCTTTTCTGTGTATTTATTGGATAGATTCATTGGCAAGTTCTTTGTGCACTGCTGTGAAGGTTCAGAGGACGCTTTTCCTTTTGGCTCGTCTCCCTCTCTTCCAGTCTGCTTTTCTTCGCTGGTTTTGTTTCTTGGTCCGGAGAAAGACTCATTATTCCACCGTCTCGCCGGTGACGAGAATTGGAGGTCCTTCGTCGCACGGTTTTGCGTGTCGTCGGAGGGAAATTTGAGTCTCTCCCTCGCTTTTCTGCCGAGTTTTGTTTCGTTTTATTCATTGTTGTCCTTTGTTTTTCCTTGCTTTCGTTCGCATACCTTCTTGCCTTACAAAAACATCAATTGCGGAACAAACCCATATCGGATTCGCGGTCTTCTCGAAGCGAAAAAGAGAGGAGAAAAAAAAAAAAAAAAAGCGCGATAAAAGCAGAGAGATCTCGTTGCAGATTGCCAATGATTTCCATTCTTTCGCCTCTCAATGACAGGAAAGCTACTGTGCTGCTGCCGCTTGCTTGTCAAGTAATCCATCAATGGAGGTTGAACAAAGCGTGACTTTCGCCAACATCACATCTAGAAAAAATTTCGTTCCGGGCATCGTGCTCTTGCTCCTCGTCGTCGGGTAAACTCAAAATTTGTCTTTCGCCTTCATTCAGATTTTCAATTTCAAACGAATGAGCTAATGGAATTCTTTCAGGCTGCGAGACGCAATGCAGCGTAACTGACGACGCAAAGAAGAAACGCTGATTTTTATATAGCATGGGACGACAATCTTTCCTCGATACTTGGCACCAGTGCTATCTCATTGGGTTTCCGTGACGCGTGTGACTTTCATATTTCTTCGGGGATTTATTCCAGTCCAATCTATGGATCGCGCTGCGCTGCCAGGAAAATTCAGTCTCGTCCAGTAACGAAAGAAGAAGAAGAAGCATCCATCAAAGTTCTTTTTCGGCGAAGAAAAGGAGATCATCCACCGCAAAGTTCTCTCTCGGCGACAAGATGATAAGTCCGGCGGAGTTCTACTCGGTCATGGCGGCAATGGTTCCACTCTACGTCGCCATGCTCCTCGCCTACGCCTCCGTGAGGTGGTGGGGAATCCTCACGCCTGACCAGTGCTCCGGCATCAACCGCTTCGTCGCCATCTTCGCGGTGCCGCTCCTCTCCTTCCAGATCATCGCTCACAACAATCCTTACGACATGAGCCTCAAGTTCGTCCTCGCGGACGCTCTCCAGAAGATCATCGTCCTGGCGGTCCTGGGAGCCTGGGCGAGATACTCACGCCGCGGCAGCCTCGAGTGGATGATCACTCTCTTCATGCTGGCGACGCTTCCGAACACGCTGGTGATGGGAATCCCGCTGCTCAACGCCATGTATGGTGGCGACCCCTCCAGGCTCGTCGTCCAAGCCGTCGTCCTCCAGTGCATTGTCTGGTACACGCTCCTCCTCGTCCTGTTCGAGTACCGCAGCGCAAAGATCCTCGTCGCACAAAAGTTTCCAAAGCCCGCCGCTGCCATCGCCTCCGTCAAGGCCGATCCGGACGTGGTTTCTCTCAGCTTCAAGGAAGGCCTGACCACCGAGGCCTCCGTGGGAGAAGATGGCAAGATTTACGTCCAGCTCAAGCGCTCACCACCACCAATTCGCACTGCTCCTGCGACGAAAAATCCGTTTTTTCCTCCGGCGGCGATGGCGAGCACGGCGTTTTCTTCCAAGGCCAGCACTCCCGGAGCCTCGGACCTGAGCAACGCGGAGATATACTCGGTGCACTCCTCGAGCGTCTTGACTCCTGGGCACAGCTTCCATCGCAGCAGCGACCGGAGTGACTTCTATCTGATGACGTCCGGCAGCCGGGGTGGCAGCCCGTTTCGTCTCCAGGAGCTCGACTCGGTCTTCCAGTCGTCGAATCAGTCGTCCAACGTACACACTCCTCGGGAGGCCGTCATCTCGGTAAGGGACGATCATATCTTCCCGCTGGACATGTACCGAACTGGAGGTGGCGGCGGCCGAGGAACTCCAAACTTTGACGACCACTTCCGGCACTTGGTTTGCAACCAGGGCTTCTCGCAGACGGCGGTGCAGATCACCAAGAAGGACAACGACGAGGAGGGCGCGTCCTCCAACTTGGACTACGATGCGAAAGAGCTCCAGATGTTCGTGTGGAGTGCGAGTACGTCGCCGAGGTCGCCAGCGTCGGTGGCTGCTCCGGCGAAGCTCTTATGGCGGAAGGACGAGAAAGTTCTCATGTCACACGAAACAACGCTGGAAGGTATGTCCAGTTGGTTTGATTGTTTAGTTGGCAAACTCGTTTTTCTTTGTTTTGCGCTCATACTCTCTCTCTCTCTCTCTCTTTCTCTGTTATTAGTTCCCGAAGAAGCAGTGACAAGACCGGATGGAAGTGCTGCTGCTGCTGTTCAGACTCCAGCGGAAAGGAACAGGCCATGGATCAAAACTTTTCTACCATCAAAGGATGCTGCTGCAAAGCTGCCAGACGATCCGGACATGCCGTCTACAGCTGTGATGACGAAGCTCATCCTGGACATGGTGTGGAGGAAGCTTGTTCGGAATCCAAACACGTACTCGAGCTTACTGGGCTTGACGTGGGCACTCATTTCCTTCCGGTAAGATTCTTTTCTCTCTTTTCTTTCTTTTTCTTTTCTCGAAATGAAAGCTACATCTCTCCAACTGTTTTGCAACTCAGATGGAACCTCCGCATGCCAAAGATTATCGAAGGCTCCATCACGATTCTATCGGACGCCGGGCTTGGAATGGCCATGTTTAGCCTGGGTGAGTTTCTTCTTCTTCTGTTTTTCTTTGACAAACTCGATGAGCAAATCCTAGGATTGTTCATGGCTTTGCAACCAAAGCTACTCGCGTGCGGGACGTCGATGACGATAATCGGAATGGTTATCAGGTTTGTGACCAGTCCCGCGATCATGTCGGCTACTTCAATCGCAGCGGGGCTTCGCAATATGGATTTGAGAGCGTCGATTGTCCAGGCAAGAATACTTTGTTTCTTCTTTCTTTCGTTTCTCACAAAAGGATTGTTTCTTTTCTTTTCATTTCGTGTTCTATCAGGCTGCCTTGCCGCAAGGTATTGTCCCTTTCGTTTTTGCTAAAGAGTACAATGTGCATCCAGACGTCCTGAGCACTGCGTAAGTCTTTTGCTTTGCTTTGCTTCATTTGCTTACGAGCTAACTCGTGCTTGCAATTTTTATCAGAGTCATCTTTGGTATGCTCGTATCGCTTCCTATCACACTGCTCTATTACGTGCTTCTGGGATTATAGTTGATACAGTTGCCAGATTTTACGAGCATCTATTAGGACGATTTAAGCTCATCCGGGCCGTCCACGTGTAGGTCAGCGATGCATTCCCCAGGCGTGTCTCACATTGCGCCACGTCGGCGGCGCCCCTCACCACAATGAATCTTTCCGGGCGAAGAACACGCGGCGAGGGCCAGGGCGGCTCCAAGGCGCTCGATCGTCGGCGGCATCGATCAGGTACGTCGTCGGCTCCAATCCATCCAGCGCCATGGCGGCAAGGTCGAAATCCGGGGTTTGTGTCAGCAGCAGCAGCAGCGCCGTCAGTCCCATCGCCATCGCCGTCGCCTCGATGAGCCTCGTCTAGCCGAAATATCCACGATCGTGGCCGCGATGTTGGCAATGCCCGCGATTCTAGCTCCCGCTCCATCGTCGTCCAATCCTCTCGCTCTCTCCAGGAGCCCGGATTCTCCCGGGCATCTCCTAGGGCAGAAATCCAGGGCCGCATCCAGAAAGATCTCCTCTCTCAGTCCTCCTCTCCGCCGATCCAAATGTGCTCCCTCGTCCAGGCCTCACAGATGCAACGCCTCCTCCAAGCCATCGCCATCGCCATCGCCATCGCCAGGTAATGATCCAAGTCCCAGTCCAGTCGAGCTCCCTCTCTTCCCACTCCCGCTGGTCCTCTTCCCGGGCGCCATCCTCCCGCTCCAGATCTTCGAGTTCCGCTACCGGATCATGATGCACACGCTGCTCCAGACGGATCTGCGCTTCGGGGTGGTGTTCACCGACCGATCGACGGGGCTGGCGGAGATCGGCTGCGTGGGCGAGGTGATCAAGCACGAGAGGCTGGTGGACGATCGCTTCTTCCTCATTTGCAAGGGCCAGGAGAGGTTCCGGGTGGCGAGCGTGGTGAGAACGTCGCCATACTTGGTGGCGGAGGTGGAGTGGATCGAGGACAAGCCTCCGCAGCGTTTGAAGGAGGATGGGCAGGAGGAGGAGGAGGATCTGGAGAAGCTGGCAAGCGAGGTGGAGGCGTACATGAAGGACGTGATCCGGCTGTCGAACAGGATGAACAAGAAGGGCGACAAGGAGACGCCGGAGGACCTGCGCAAGAACTTGTTCCCGACGCCGTTTAGTTTCTGGGTGGGGAGTACGTTCGAGGGGGCGCCGCTGGAGCAGCAGGCGTTGCTGGAGCTGGAGGACACGGGGCTGCGGTTGAAGAGGGAGAAGGAGACGCTGAGGAACACGCTCAATTACCTCACTGCCGCCTCGGCTGTCAAGGACGTGTTCTCGTCTCAGTCGGACTGACCCCTTTCTCTCTCTTTTTTCCTCTCTAATTAAATTTGAATTCAAGGCTTAGGGTTAGTGTCTAGGTAAATATGTTGTAAAAGTTAGGCAATAAACTATTATGAATTATGGCAAAATTATTAAGTTTTCAAGGGAGAAGTGCTTCAATTTAACAAAAAGTGAAAGTTCAAGAGATGCAACCGATAGCAAAAACTTGGTAACAACAGAGAAAAAGAGGAAATTTCAGGAGAATGACGCAATGCGACTCGAGAGCTCTCCACATTCTGTTGCTGAATGTGGAGACACATCTAAATGGGACGCAATGATCCCTGCCTGGACTGTGAAGTACGAAGGAGCCGCCAACCTTGGACCACCTTTTGCACCAATTCGACGAAGGAGTACGAAAGCTCCATTCAGAGCACCTCAGACAAAGCCGAAGTATATGAACGGCTTCCTGGTTGTCCAGTCAAGCGGAGTGTTACTGAGCTCAAGCACAAGGGCGTGTTCGTTTGCTACTGCAACTGCCAAGTTAGGGGTGATGGCGTTCCGCTGGGGAGGCTTGCACGACACAACGTTCCGAAGCTCCATCTTCGACGAGCTCTCTCCATGCTCCCACACTTTGCAAGCTTGGTGGAAAAGAACTGCCCTGAAGGTCAAAAGGCATGCAGGGGATATGGCTTGTCGCCTTGGAGCAGCACTGCAAGATGTGGAGGGGTCAGGGCGTGACAACCACGTTATTCTTCAAGGCAGGGAGAAGTCTCGGGTCTGGATGCAGTCTGTCGGGAATGGTATGCAGTGCCAAAGTGTGAAGCTGAAGATCTGTGGCTGCTTGTAAGCTGGTTGGCGGAGAGTGCTTTTTGGGACGTTGAGCAGTATGCAGAGAGTGAGCCGGGAACAAGCACTTGCCGTCCTGAATGCACGTCTGGCTATCGGCATCGTTCCCCAAGGTGGTCTGGCAGCGGAGTAAGCTGCAGGATATATGAGCTACGTGTCTGTGGGATCCGGCATTGTCTGCGGCGGCCTGCATGTTCACTTCGCATGAAGTGAGGCTCTAAAGCATCTGAAGGATCTCTGCAGGGGCTTCCTAAAGGAGGAGAACCGATGGCGAGATACATCTTAATGCGAGTAAAGACAAGTGTGTTGAAAACAAGGAGGACTACTTTGACAGCTTCAGCCTTGTGGTTTTCCCAGAGAAAGTAGTTGGAGAGCAACACGCTCTCAATCCGGAAGGTTCCTGCTCCGACCTTGTTGTGGACTGTAGAGGTCAACATTATGAGTGTGGCTTACGCACCAGGATTGGTGGTGGTAAGTAGAGCGTTGCTGTTAGCTGCACACCATCAGAGCGGGATACCGAATTTCTGGAGGCTGACAAGCTGCGGGTAAGGATGCGGAAAGTTTGTTACGTGAACAGCATTCTTATCGGGCCAAACCAAAGAAAGTACAGCGGAGGCTAGCATTCGCAGCTTGTCCAAGTCGAGAGTACTTGTCCTTCTGGCTTTGCCAAATCCGCTCTGTTGCACCACGAGTTTGCGAAATCAACAGCGAGTGAAGTGAGCCATCCGGGCTTACATGTTGAGAACATCAAGGAACGGTATGTTTCCTTCCGGAGTTGCCCGTTGCCATCAAGCAGTAGATTCCTGTTACCATCAGTCGTCTTTACTTGAGCCAGAACGTAAGTCCCAAACGAGGTTCTGCGCAACACCGGAGAGCTGGGGTCTGAGTTGACATCTTCCGACGATCTATCGAACAGCACGGAGCTTCTGCCAGCCAAGAACACACATCACAAACGACTCGACTTTAGCAACACAATACGTACCCGTAGCGAAGATCAAGTTTCTGAAGAATTTCCGGTTCCTGTGCTAGAATCTACACGAAGTGTGTACACTATGTCTCCACTTCCACCCTGTAGAACACATATATACATATAATGAGGAACAGAGAAAATAAAAACATTCTTTTCTTACCAACCTTCAACCTTGACGAACGCTGTCATGAGCTATTGGTATATCTATGCGAGCGGCAAGTCAGCGACTTCTCGTACAAGTCGTCCTGATCTCATCCACACCTCTGAAAAGGTACCAGCAGATGACGGTCACGAGGAGGAGCTCGCTGGTAGCATAATAATCGAAATGTCTTCGTCATATACACCCCGACTTTCCTCGTTGATGAGAACCTTGTTGGGACATGGCGGCGTGACTTGAACAACGCACGCAGCATCACATAGGTGCTTACAAATCGAATACGGAATTAAGGCAGTCGTCTAGAGGTCCAATAAGCTCTCTGGCGTTTGCATGCCCGCAATCCAAAGTCTCAGCTGACTCCTCCTGTGAGAGATTTGATTTCATTACGCGATAAACCAAGTAGAAAGGAGTACCTTGTCCATCCCCGGAAGAACGAATGCAAGGTGACTACCATCAGGAGATACGCATAAGCCACTCAAGAAAACGAAGGAAGAAAACGCTCACAAAGTTGATCCTGGAACCGGGTGGCAACCCCACAAGCCCGTCGTGACAAGGACGACATATAAAGCCTTCTGTAATGAACTGTGAAAAATGATCTCTTTCTCTTTCCTGTAACAGAAAATAGCAAACGTCAGCTGATCGTCGAAAGCATCACACTCAGAATCATTCGGCCTCATCTCGGCAAAAATTTCTGGATCGCCATAGACTTGATCAGCCACAGCACGGAACAAGCAGTTGTACTTCGACTGAAATTCCTCGAACTTCCAAAGCTTGCTTATGACTCCCTTGTAGCTTGTTTATCTGGATAAAAACATACGAGAACTTCAATCGGTGGCTGTTCTTTCTTGGCTAACCTCATGGCGTTTCATCTCAAGCATCGCCTGCAAGAAAGAAGAAGCCCTATGTCTATACAAGCGGCTGAACGAAAAAACTGATTACACGATCGTAAGTTCTGCTTGCGAGTTTTCAAAAGCATCCTTTCCAAAGCCGCATCTTCTGAGCGACAGATGCTTGTTCCTTGCTTGTACACGCTATTCTTCTCGGCAGTCACCAAGCTTCTTAGACGAGTTTACATATTTATGAGAAGAAAGGAACATGGTTTACGAAACGACTTGTTTTTCATGAGCCTCTGTGATTTGCTCGACTTTGGCCTCCACACCGCTCCAAAGCTTTGTCCTCGCAGTGCTTTACTTTCAGCATGGCATTCCATTCTGGTTCTTAGCTTCCAATGCTCGTGTAGCTGCCGGTCCTCTACCAAACAAGACAGCGCAATTTCCAGGTCGCTCTTGACGCACACTTGTTCTTGGAGCCCAAAGAAAGCCCGTGGAGGACGATTTGCTGCTGCCTTGATTTCTTAACTATAAACCCTAAAGGGCCAATAGAAAAGTTTAAATTAAACTTTTAAAAAAAGAAATTTTCACTTTACTTTCTAAAATAATAATTCATATTTTAATGGAAATACTCCTTTAGAAAATAAAAAATAAATTTAAATCTAATTTATAAATATCTTAACTAATGTATTTTAAAAGTCTATATTCTAAAGCTTTGCATTTGTTTCTTTTACATAGATGATAGGTCAAATATTTAATTTATGTGAATTAAGAATTCTACCAGAAAAAAGATAATTGTAAATAATATAGACTTTCCTTTATGACAAATAAATATTATTTAATTAAATTTTGAATTCTTGAGTAATGTCATATTTTAAATTTATATTTCTGTACTATATAATTATTTTAACTTCGAAATTAGTTTATACTAAATCAAATATTGAGTTTATTAGAAATAATAGTTTAACTGAAGAAGTAACTGGAATGATTGTAGATAATATAGATTTTCTTATATCTACAATTGGTCAAAACAATAAATATCCCCAAGATTATACAAAAAACTGGGAATTAAACCATCAAATGGGAGTTGCTAATATACAACTTCAAAGAATACCATCATTATGCATTCCAAAAACTAATGAATTAGTAATTGGTCGTACATTACATCATGGATTAACAAGATTACTTATTGATTATTCAAAAGATATAAGAAATGCACGTGCTAATTCATGTAAAGTTACAAATCGAAATTTTCAAATTCAGTACTCTTTCTCCTCTTTTGGGATTAATAATATGATGACATTTTTCTTTTCATTGAGAAAATATTATAAAACTGAAAATTGTGATAATAGTATAACCACTTTAAACTCTGCATTTGAAAATCATATACTATATACAGGTCAATTTATACAATCTCGGAATGGCAAAAACATATTATTAGTAGAATCAAATTGTAAAATTTCTATTTATTCTGGAAAAAATCTTTTATGGAGATCACAAAATATAAAAGAATATTATGGTTTATGTTTTTTAGTACTTCAGAAAGATGGTAATCTTGTTTTATATAATAACAAAAAATTAGTGGTGTGGTCAATTAACAAATTTTGTAAAGCTAACCCTCATTGCTATTTATTTACTTACCTTACATTACAAAATGATTGTAATTTAGTATCTTATAAAACAAAGTTAAATACTATTTGGTGGGCAACTAATACATATAACCATCAAGGATGTATTATTTAAAATTTCGTTTTCTATTTTACATTGTGGGTTTTTTGTTTTTGTTTCTTGATAATTTAGATTTAAAACATGAGATTCTTTCATATGTTACTAGTATTTCTCAAAATAACTTTAGGCCTTTTATAATATACTTCCTTTTTAACTACTTTTGGATTAGCCTAATCCTTATTTCCTTTATTTGTTTTTTAAATAAAAGTTACTCGGCCTCAAATTGCTTTATGACTGAAGACATCTTGAGAGCAAAGCTTGATCTACTTTGCTTTGCAAAAGCTCTAGCAATGCCTTGGAACGTTTGAGATCCTCCTTATCAAACTTCTCCCAAGAGCACGTCAACAGCATCTCAAGCACGCCAATCTCGCCCGAGGACTCCTCTTCTCGCTCAAACGCTTGGGCTCCTCCATGAGACGAGTAAATTCTTTGAGCCTTGAGGTTCCTTGGAGCAAGCTCCAGAGAGTGTGGACCCGTGAAATCCCCGGCGAGCTTGAGTGCTTCGTCCACAACAGCGGTGTCCAAGATATCAACGTCGAGGGAGTCCGCTGGAGTATCGAAATCGGCCTGGCTGAAGTCGACGGTGGTGTAAGTCTTCACTCCGGCTCCCTGTTCCCTCTGGAGCTTCCGGACTTCCTTCTGGTGATCCGTGAGAGCGAGTTCCTTCTGAGGCTGGCTTGGGATAAGCACGTAGCCGCTGCTTTTATCTTCCATCTCCATTCGTCCCGCATTGCTGAGCCGGACTTTCTTTCTCGGGATCTCGTCAGTGGCTAGTACTTGTCCACCTGTTGCTGCTGCCGAGAAGACTTTTTTGAGTGGCGTGGCCTCAGGTGTTCTGTTCTCCATACTCTGCGCGTCCAGACTACCAGGCATGATTTGCGTTGTGTATGGCTCGAGGTCTGACGCAACTAGTCCTGGTAAAGTGATCGCCACCTGACTTTTGAGCTTCGCTAGTGATGGAAGAAGGCTGCTGGGATAGCTCAAGGCTGGCGTCCTGGCGTAAGTCTCTTCCCAGAATGCCAGAGTCCTGTTCGAGATTGGATCATACGGATGCTCCAATGCACAGGCCAAGCTCGATGCCTGGAGAAAGAGAAGGTCGGAGTCGAAGACCATCTCGGGCTGACACCTTTGAAGACAGGAGAGTAGGCCGTCCCACAACTGATGAAGCTTTTCCAGCAACGATGCAGGAAAGCTCTTGTCGGCGCTCAGTAACAAGTTCAAAGGCTTCTCGAGAACCTGTGCGTTCAAAATGGGAAATGAGTTGGTCTTCTTCTTTTTTTTTCTATTCGACTGAAAAATCTCTTACGTGTAGAAGTCGTAAGGCGTTGTGCTGACTGCTGACTCGTTTGCTATAAAATGCCAGTGCTTCCAGGACCCTGTGACAAGCTTTAGCTCATAAGAATCAAGAACTAGAAGTAGCTTAACCTTGTTATGATTTTAATCGTAGAGGGACACTCCGTTCCTGCCAACATCAGCACCCTGAAGCATTAACAGCAAAAGATGAAAGTTAGTCCGCATGCGAAGTTGCATAAAACCATACCTGTTTGCGACAGTGATAACATCCCGCATTTCTCCATCAGCAACATTAAAGCTTCTCCTTTTCCCGGTCTTGGATTTGTGGACGTCTGCTTGTCTGAGGGCATGACTAACACCAAATCCCGCAAGCTCGAGAAATTCGGTGAGACCTGTCAACCTTAGACCACTTGAGATTTGTTCGTCAATAAGCTTAACCAGCCGTCGATAAAGCTCTTGCAGGAAGCTGCGATTTTTCAACGACGAAACTCTCCAAGTTGCTTCATAAAGCTGGATCCAAAGTGTTCTCGTAGAGCTGAGTTCTCTTCCTCCGGGTTGGAAAAAGCACTTCACGGGGAAAAGAAGAGCGTCGCATATACAACCAGTTTTCCCTTCACCACCAATATCACTAGTTTCATCGACGTAGTTTAGCAGCTGCTCTGCTACCGAGTTCCACCATTGCAGAAGGAACGCGCTCGCCATCTTCGGTTTTTTACCGCCAGCTGCTGAATACAGCAGACTTAAGCAGGCCACCTGTTCTTGAACACTTCCAAGGACGTCGAAAGGTGCTCTTAAAGCACAGAGAAGCGTTTCAGTCCCGTGAAGAATAGACTCTTCTGGTTCCCGGAGAAGCATGTCCATCCAGGCAGCCAGCATGTGCACAACCGGACGTACCAGCACAGTCGTATGCTCCGTCCAAGATAATAAAGTATGAGAGCGCCGCCATGGAGTTCTGTAGAAGGACGATGCTAAAACCATGGGTCCGAGCTCGTCGATAAGAACTCTAAAGAAGTTCCATGCCCAAGTCTTCCAAATACTCGGAGAGTTTTCCTCGTTGCAAAGCCCGACGGCGAATCCCAGGAGCCAATGTACACCGTCTCGCTGCTCAGGACTGTGTTGAGCCGCCACCATGGTCTTCACGATGATGTACCATAGCCTGGCGGCAGCAGCCAGGCTCCAGTCTCTCTTTTCCTCCAGGCTCTTCATTCCACAGTCCCAGAAAAGCCTCATTGCCTCTTCAAGAACTTCAACACCTTTGAGAGTCCATGGCTCGAAATTCAACTTCGTTGCTTCTTCTAACAAAGGCTGGTCTCCTTGGATATCGGACGTTGCAAACGTAAGTCGAGTGAAGTCTGGTGTCGATGATAAGTTCGTCGAAGCATACGTTTCCACCAGTGCAATGCAGTTTCGCCAAACCCACGGATCTCGCACCGGGTCGACATTTACGACAGCTTGAATGACTGGAACAACGCTGTGCTTGAAGTTTTGAGGATCGTTCAAACGCGTACCGAGCACTTCCAGGATATGTATCCATGTCTTGCAATATCGGGACTTGACTGATAGAACACGCTCGCTCTTGATAGCAGATAGAATAGGCGTCAACAGGAGCTTGAGGCGCTTCGGCTGAGCGTCGTCAGGCGGTATAACTGCATCAATAAACGATTCCCAAGCGTCCTGACAACGAGGAAAAGTATTAGAAAAACACAGACATACATCGACGTACGCACATAAGTTGCAATCCTGGCCTGAGCGTCGTTCTTCGTGAATGCGAGCTCCGGAACTTTGATCAGCTCATTTGCTAGTGACTTATTGCTGATAAGATGGCTACCGAGCAATGTGATAAACATTTTCCAAGCGCTGATGGCTGCTGGAGCAACTTGACCACCGGAGGCTACCATTTTCATCAGCTTTGCCAGCAACGTAGTGCGTATATCGTTGGCACAAACCTTTTTCAAATTCACAATTTCAAAGTCACGCAAGGAACACTACCGAACTGAGTACCTCTAAGAACAAAAGTGAGCAAGGCCGAATGTACACTAGAAGCTCGTCCAAGGCATGAGAAACCATGCATCTCTCGGCTTTGTCCATACTAACGAGCCTCATATAAAGTGGTGGTGCCCAGACGTGTGCATGCGCTCGTGCTTTCGCTGGTGCTATGGAAACGACGAAACGAAGAGCCTGAAACTAAAACGTTATAGAATTAAAATGAAACTTTTGTCATACCTGTAGAGCCTCGAAGATCACGGAAAGCGAACCCAAATGGTTGTTGATCGCACACACTACAGCGCTGATGAGGTTTTCAAAGTGATTCTCGATGATACTAGCCTTGAATTGCTGAACTGAAACGCACCACATGCTAAGTTTAAGTTGCAACTACACAGAAGGAAGCAGCTTCGTCAGAGAAAAAAAACTAAAAAAAACGAGGCCATGAAATGAAAAAAATGTGTATGAACCTTCTCGCTGCTGCCAGTAGCGATCTTCACGAAAGTTAGCAGAATTGTAGAGGCCAGATCGTCTAAGGTTTTGGCAAGAGAAAAAGGGTTAAAACAAAGAAGGATGGCGAAGGCTACCTGGAAGTTTTTCCACATAGCTCGAGTTGCTAATGAAGAAACCCAGGCACCGCAATGCGCTTGATGCCCTGCGCGCCGCAAACTCCCACGATTCACACACACAAATGAAGAACAAAACAAAACACTTACAAGAGAGAATTTCGAGAGCTTGCATCCAAGCGCGCCTGCTCGAAGAAGAACCCCCAATCATCCGCATCCCCTTGCGGCGGCGAGCACTGAAGCGCTTGATACTGACGAATGCGCTCATCATCCGAGCTCGCCGCAAACTCCTGGATGGACATCTTCATCCGCGAAGACCCCACAAGCACAAGCGCTTAAACCCTAGCATCGTTCATTTTCCCGCCAGTTCTAGAATTTTCCCGCCACATCTCAAACATTGGCTATTGTGTGTGAAGAACCCTAAAATTAGGGCAGAGGTGCCAGCGGCAAAATCTTCTTAGGTGAATCCACCAGAAGAATCTCTAGCTAGTCGCTCGCGTTTCTCTCTTTCCGGCTATCGATCTTCACCCATCTTCGATTCGGCACGTCCTCCTCGCACTGCCGGATGAGATTCTCCAGCGTCGTCTCCTCTCTAGTTCGATTGCAATCGCAGCTATACGGCTCGAAGTTTAGGAAGCACGGATCCGACGCGAATACCCTGGTACACACCGGGTGCTCGGGATTGGGTTGGATCCACATGAGCCAGGGCCGGAGGTGCGCCAATCCTTGCGCGGCGTAGCCAAACGTCGACAGAGGGCTGGTGATGAGAGTGTCAGCCAGCGAGAGAAGAAAGATCTCCATCAAGGCCTTCTCATCGTGGTGAGTTTGTCCGGTTTTTTGATGTTCTTCGTGGCTTGGCTGATGGACGCTAACTCGAATCCCTCCCTCGGTGGCAGCGTTTAAGTACGTTGCTCGCAACGCTTCGAGGTGAGCTTGGTTGAGCGAAGTGACCAGCACGGCAATGGATCTGCCGGAAGAAGAAGAAGAATTGGAGCTCTTCTTTGAGGTGAGTGCTTGCGATTGATCCTCCAAAGTGATGTTTTTGTGATTGATCTCGCTGGTTTCTCCCAGGATCTCCGGCTCCTCCTGCGTGACGTTTGGAAGAACTCGGTTCTCCACAGCGCACTGGAGAACTTCTCTCGCGTAGTTCTTGCGGACGCCCTCAAATCCAGGCGGCGCTCTCATCTGGATCCCAACCAGCGTCTCGGCGTGCGCCAAGTAAGAATCGTAGAACCGGGTGGTCCTCTTCCAGACGGAGTTTGAGGGGTGGAGCAAGTACCTTGTGGCATGATGAAAGATGGCGTCCTCGCCGGGGAAGAGCCGCTCCATCTCCGACTTGAACGATGGAACGTAGTAGAGGCTGGGGACGTAGAAGACGTTCGATCGGACAAACACCCAGGGAACTTGGCTCCGGATCACGCCCTGCTGCTCCTCGCAGAAGAACTTGGTGTCGTCGCGATCATACTCGTGGGTGATCCGGACGAGCACGGTTTCGGGGTACTTGACGCCGCTGGTGTTGCACTCTCCGGATCCAAACGCCTTGACAACGCTGCCAAACCGGAAAGAATCATTCAGTGAGTACAGGAGATCCATCTTCGACTTTGGGAGGAGCCAGGAACTTTGAGGAAACGGCTCGCAGAAGAGGCGATCCATGTTTTCGGCGGCGGCGATGAGAAGAACTCGGTTCGTGAGCAGCGCGTAGATGAAGGTGGCGACGAGCGAGATCATCTTGTTGCCGAGGCCCATGTATCCGACGGCCACGATGAACTGGCACGGGGGATCCGACGGCGACGGTGGTGACTTGTCGGCCTCTCCAGCGCAGCGAGCGTGGAGCTCCTCGTACTCCCGGAGCCGTTGGATGAGGCTATCGGACGGGCGGGAGGGGCTGGAGGGATGGCGGCGATACGACTGGTATTGGAACCGGCTGAGGCACTGGCGGCCGCGATCATCCTTTTGCTTCCACACTTCTGGGAGGAGGCCTTGCTCGTTCTCGTCGCTGCGAGGAGGAAGCGTGTGATTTAAGAGGATGAAGCTGGAGAAGAATGGATTGGGCGATTGCTGGGCTTTGAGGAGGAAGTGCAAGGCGAGAGTGAGCGAGAGGACGAGGCCTACAAGGCGGAACCATGGCATTTTCAGGGCATGCATTGGTGGGTGATCGATCGACTTGGTCGCCCTACAAAATCAAAGCGCATGTGGAGCAAAGTTAGGAGAGCAAATCGGTAAGGTGGAACTATATACCGAAAATTTGATTTTGACAAACTCAAGTTTAGTCCTCGAGAATTACATAGTTGTTTTGGACATTATTTAATCAAAGTAAAATGAGAAGAATATGCATTAAAAAGTAAACTGAGTTAATTTAATCAATTGATCCAGTGAACTTAATGATATTAATTAAAGTTTTGCTTAGGGTTTTTAGTGAATAACTTTTATATTAGAATATTTCTGACATTTTTAGGAATTAATGTATGTTAAGTGCTTTTGTTGGTGGTCTTGCAACCGGAAAAACTTTGAGCGGACAAGCCCTGGGCACGGTCAAACCAAACACCTCGGACATATCCAGCAAAGCTGGGTCCGGTCCAGCCCAGTCAAACGCATGAACCAAATTGCCCAGAATGTAGTAAACGGTGGTCAAACCGAGATGAATCCCCGGGCAACCCCTCCTCCCAGCTCCAAATGGCAAGAGTTCAAAGTGCTGGCCCTTGACATCCACACAGCTCCCTAGAAATCTATCCGGATCAAACCTGGATGCATCCCTCCAAGTGGATTTGTCACGCCCGATCGCGTAGGCATTGATCAAGATCCTTGTTCTGGCGGGGAACGTGTATCCTCCAGCTCTAAAGCTCTCGATCGATTCATGAGGGAGCAAGAGCGGAACTGGCGGATGGAGCCGGAAAGTCTCTTTGACGATTGCTTGCAAGAACTCGAGCCTGGAGATATCCTCGTCTTCCATCAGCTTTCCTTCGCCAATCACTCGCTTGAGTTCCTCGCGAGCCTTGTCCATGAATTTGGGGTTCTTGATGAGCTCCGCCATCGCCCACTCTATCAGAACAGCCGAAGTGTCCGTTCCAGCCGCGATCATGTCCTTAAACACACAGCAAAGTTTCACGTCAACTTTCCCGTCCATAGAAAGATTTTCATACAGCTTTATTACAACGTACCAGCGAAACGGCCTTAAGCGAAGCGTCCGTCAACTCCCCCGTGGAGATCATCAAGTCGATGAAGTCCTTCGGCTGACCACCAAAGTTCTTGCGATGAGTGTCAATCTCCTTTTGCAAGAACTGGTCGATCCCGTGCTGGACTTCCTCGATCTTTGCAACCTGCGTGTCCATCCATCCCAGCCAAGGAACAAAATCACCAAAGTGCATGCTACCACCGAGCTCAAACGCCCGAGTGATTGCTCGGTTGAAGAACAGCGCCTCCTCCATCTCTTCCTTGCTCGTCGCGCTCCCGGCCGAGTAGCTCTTGCTCATCACCATCTTGGCGATGGTGTTGAACGTAACATCCTTGATCATCGTTGACAAATCGACCTCCCGGCCCTCCTCCGCCATCGCCAGGAGCTCGCGAAGGAAGATCCTGGTCTCCTGTTTGCGAATGGGCTGGAAGAACTCGACACGCTTGGCCGTGAGGAGCTCCAGAGTGCACAGCTTCCGGATGCTCCTCCAGTGCTCCCCATAAGGCGCCCAGGCCAATCCGGCACCTCCATAGCCAAAGTATCTCGCGGAAGAGATCGCGGGCCTGGAAGAAGTTGCGATGTCTTGGAACTTGAGAAGCTCTCTTGCGGCGTCCGGGCAAGAGATGACCAGTGTGTCAACTTGCCCGAGCTTGAGGTGCATGAGTCCTCCAAACTTCCTGGAGAGATTAAGGAGGGAGATGTGAGGGAGATTGCCGAGGAGAGGCAAATGACCCAAGATTGGAACACAAAATCCTGGGGAAGGGGGTTTGCTGCCATTGTTCTTGAAGAGAAGAATGCCCACCAATTTGTAGAGAAAGAGCGAAAGTAAGCCCACTAGTACTATCTGGAGGAGCTCCATTGTTGCTTCTAATGCTTTGAGCAAAGGATGATATATGTGGGATATGGACACTGGTTTAGCCGCCTGGAACAAAATAAATGCAACACAACAAATGGGAAGGAAACAAAAACGATATACTGTTTGATCTATTTATGGATCTATTTGTGTCCAGGCCTGGCCTGATTGCTCCATCGTTGGCTTCTTATCCTCGAGCCTAAGATTCTAGTGCCTTAATGATGCCCACCATCTTTGACTAACTTATGTTTGTTTTGCAATAAATTGTGCCAAGCTCTCAAAATTTCTTATTCCTTCCTATCAAGATTTTGATTTCCCAGACTTCTGCCACCTCCATGTTTCACTAGTGAAGCTTCTAGACATGTCTACCTCATGATTCTCCCATAGGTTCCTAGAATCTACCATGTCACAAAAATCAAGCTTTTTAGATTCGCTTTTGTTGATCTTTAAAACTTTCATTCATTTGAGGCTTATTATCAGAAGGTTTTGTTTATAGCATTGGATATGTTTAAATAAAAATATTTTAGTTTATTATAAAGAAATGCTTACTTTTATTTACTTTCTATAAAAATTCATCTTCAGTTAAGGAAAAGGTTTTAAAACCTTTTGAGCAGCCAACTATATAAAGGAGTTTTTAGCTAGTCACAGAGTTTGGGCTCATGAGGTACTGCAAGCACAAGAACACTGTGAGAGTTTTCAAAATGGAAGACGGAGACTATATGGTTCTAGAGCACCTCTATGATTTTAGGGCCTTTTATTTCGAGAAGGGTACAAGCTCTCCAAGGAGGGGATGGTCAAGGAAATCATATTCCAATTTGGTGGGCTTGGCAAGTTTGCAGAAGTGAGAATTTGTGTACTAGCACATCCTCACAGCAACTTTGTGGTGAAGGTAAGAGATTTTCTTACTTGAGGAAGAGGTTTTAGGGCTTCAAAAGTTATCTCTGAGGAGATTGAGAAGATTGGGAAAGGTGTGGACATGCAGGGAGTTGGAGTTCTGTTTGCAAGGAACCCCATAGAAATCTTGATATGAGCTGGGATGAGGATGAAGGTGGTGGAAAAGATGAAGAAGTTTTTCGAGAGGGATTAGTATAAAATTATTGAAGAGAAAGCTTGGGATCCAGACAAAAGGTTTACTACAGAACAAGCAACAAGAACCTGGAAGAAAGAAGATTCACACCTATTGCTCGTGCAACTTGGACGTAGTTCTATGCAGCAGAAATGCTTGTTTGATGTTCCAGACCATGGAGGAGTGGAACACTGGAAGAGATTTCGTCCAACATGATCACCATGGAGAGCAAAGAAGGAATTGAATTCCTATGGCACCTCCCATGGTGGTAACTCCTTCATTTTTCTGATGTGTGCTTCTTTCTTTGTTCTTGAACTTACAGATTATACCTCCAGGAATGAATGACATTCATGGCAATACTGTCCATGTTGCTAGAGATTATTTGGGGAGAGGTGAGAAAGGACTTTCTTAAGTTCTCTTTCTCTTTGGATAGATCATGTGCTTCTTGCACAGTGTAATAATCCTGGCACTTGCTCATCCAGATTCCAAAACTATATCACCACATATACATATTGTGAGAGATCTCATGAACTTGGTAATTATATCTTTCATGGGCCCTTTCCCTTTATATTTAAACTTTTATGAGTTGTTTTTCAAGTTATTTCCTTTGGTTGCTTATATATGCTATACCATCCAACCACCCTTGAGCCACCTCCACTATACCACCGCTTTACTATGAGCCCTAGTGTAGATAATTCCTTATCCTAACATGCCTTAATATACCTTTGAACTTCCCTTTGATCCACATTAACTACGTGGTTAAAGCTAGCACCTAACAACCTTTGCAATGCCCTTGTCATCATAGACTATCTAAGATGCGAGACTTGGTCATTTTTCCAAAACTATCCCAATATGAAAAGCCAAAGTAAAAAAGATAAAATAAGATAAATGAAAGAGTGCCCCCTTTTTTAATTCTTGAGATACTTAGGGTTAAACGTTAAAAGCTTACATTTGGTATTGGAGCGGTTTCGAGTGCGACTCTATGTGAGACACAAAATCCCTAGGCCCCAAAGTGGAGCCGGAAAGGGTGCCACGTGGTAGTGGCTGAAGCGAGAGCCAAACGAGCGTAACACGTTTGGACCAAAAGCTCCGACTTGAAAAGTCGAGTGGAACTCCCAAAGAAGGGCTCGAGGAACAAGCATGAAGCGAGCAAAAAGCGAGGCTCCAAAAAGGGACCCAAAAGGACCAACACATGACATGTGGGAGTGTCCGAGATGGACTCGAGTTGGAGTCCGAAGTGGAGTCCAAGATGGACCCGAGTTGGAGTCCGAAGTGGAGTCCGAGATGGACCCGAGATGGAGTCCGAGATGGAGTCTGAAGTGGAGTCCGAGGTGGACCCGAGATGGAGTCCGAGGTGGAGTCCGAGATGGACCCGAGATGGAGTCCGAGATGGAGTCCGAGATGGAGTCCGAGGTGGACCCGAGATGGACCCGAAATGGAGTCCGAGATGGAGTCCGAGATGGACCCGAGATGGAGTCCGAGATGGAGTCCGAGATGGACCCGAGATGGACCCGAGATGGAGTCCGAGATGGAGTCCGAGATGGAGTCCGAGATGGAGTCCGAGATGGAGTCCGAGATGGAGTCCGAAGTCGAGACCGAGACCGGGACCGAGACCGAGACCGAGACCGAGACCGAGACCGAGACCGAGATCGGGACCGAGACCGAGACCGAGGCCGAGGCCGAGACCGAGCCCGAGCCCGAGTCCGAGTCCGAATCCGAGTCCGAGTCCGAGTCCGAGTCCGAGTCCGAGTCCGAGTCCGGAGCCTGAGAGGGTGAAAGCCCAAAGCGTTCGTCTCCCAGACCCTGGGGGGTTTGGTGAGCTCCAAAAGTATAGTAGGGGGAGGACTGCAGTGGAGCCAGTTTGGCCAGGAAAGGCCAGTTTGGCCCAGGAAGGCCAGACCCAGTGTTGGGTGATGAACTGACCACTGGGAAGTCCAAGACTAGAGTGAATACGGACCGACAAGCGGGGTAGCTTGGTGAAGTGTTCAAGAGCCGGCTCTAGTTCCCCCGGGAGATCGACTGGCCGATGCTCCCAGTCCAAGTGTGGGTGGCACTACCTACTTGGATACCAGGCGTGGCTCAACGGAACCTCGCTCTAAGCCCATGGCTAGAGCACCTAAAGGCGAAAGGTGGGGAGAGTACCCAGGTGGCTCGCGTAAGGCCACGGTGTTCCGAAATGTCGTCCCAAAGGCCCAGACTGTGGAAAGGAAGAGGAGCAGTCCTCTGGGGTAGTGATTAAGGACACAGTCGTGTGGTGAGGAAGTCCCAGAGGACCGTGGGACTTAGTGGTCGGGCCTGTGGGCCTCGATCCAGTGGCAGTGTTGGCAAACACGGCCAGGGGCAGAAAGGGACTTGGTAGGAACTGACAAAGGGACTTTGGGGAAGGCGATTCCCCAGGTCTGTGGGCATCCTAAGGATGCTAAGGAGTGGATCCAGGATGACCCCTTGTAGACAGATGGCCCAGTCTTGGAGAGACGGGATGGTGATGCAAGTGGTATTGGACCATTTGCGCAGCAAAGGTGAATGGGCATGGCCTTAGCGTAACGAGCCGAGATGTCAGTGGTACCTTTGGGTGTCGGTCATGGGATCGGACACGTGGAGCACTTGGACCAAGTGCAAAGGTTGAGTGGCATGGATGCCATTCTCGGGGCTAGCAAGCCCCAAGTCCTGAATGGGACTTATGGAGGTTGTGAATGAGATTCCTCCAAGTGGTCGGAGGTGTGGTTAAGTGACTAAAGTAGAATGGAAAAATTAGTAGCTTACAATTTGGTATCGGAGCTGTTCCTTAGTCCGACTTTTATTGGTGCTCAAGTATATCACCACTAGTGTTGGCATCGGAAGGTCCGAGGAGTGGGCCTATCCTTGAGGAGTAGCAAGTCGGGAAGACATGGCTCTCCATTACAGTTCATGTGTGAACTTGTAGACGAGGTGGTGGATGGAAAAGGGCCAATAATGGAACGACTTTGGGATCTTGGGAACAGTGCAAGGTTTTCCTCATTGAGTTGAGGATGTGATCCAGATGAGCATTTGTCTGAGCAAATTGGCTAAGGTTGTTGTGGTAAACAACTAAAGTTGGGATCACGGGAAAGATAGAGACTCCAAAACAATAAAGGAGTCACAAGATTATCCTCATATAGTTGAGGTTGGTGCTCATGAATGTGAGGCCAAAGGTAATGACCGTGGAAGGTCAAATACGGAAGAGGACTCAAGTCCTTGAAATGGTAGCCGGGGCTACCTTTAATAAATGCTGGAACAACCCAAGGAGTTGGGGGGTGTACTTAGAGATGAGTGGTATTCTCATCACATGGACAAGTAGTCCTAAGGGGCAAAAGTTGCCCCCAGAGAACAAAATCAAGTGTCGGAGTAACACTTGTGAAAATAGTCCTTTTGAGTAGGACAGGAATGCAAGAAGTGTATTCCAGTGAGCTAGTGCCTCACAAGTAGGACCTTACGGGTCTGTGGATTAACCAAGTCCAAAACTGCTGGATGACTCAAGTAGAGTCAACGGATGGTCCTAAAAGGACTGATGGAAGCATTTGGACTGAGGTGTGTTGTACCCCACAAAGGATGGGGGGAGGATCATAGGATCCAAGGATGAGAACAGAGGGTATCTCATCAATGGCAGAATGTGCCATGCTAAAGTTATGGGAAAGGTGTTCCCAGAAGAAAACAACTTTGACATAAAGTTGTGTGTGACCTCTATGGTGCAGTGCTAACGGATGGTTGGCATAAGAAAGAGCGGTGTTGGTCTTGGCAAAGACTTAGACACGAAGGGGAAATGTCATAGAGGTGGGCTCGTGGAGCCGATGGTGTGGAGACACCAAATGTGCCAAGGTGTGACACCTTGAGGCTAGGTTGGTGGGTTCATGAGAACCTCTTGCCAAAGGAATCCCAATGGAAATGGGAATGGCATAGCCTAAGCTGCAGGGCATGCAGTGGAGTGTGGTGACCCAGATAATGATGGAGGTGTGAAAGCACCAAGCAATGAGTTGTAGGACTTGAC